GGGTAGGAGGAGCGGGGGCAGCACCTACCTGTGGCCTCGTTGTAGTACACGTTGATGCGCTCCAGCTGCAGGTCGCTGTCCCCACGGTAGGTGCCGGTGGGGTCGATGCCGTGCTCGTCGCTGATCACCTCCCAAAACTGCAAGAGACACACCCAGGTCAGAGGCTGCGGGGGCGCGGCGAGCGGCGGCCCTGCCGCCTGTCAGCCCCCGCGTACCGAGGGTTACCACCGGCCCGCCCGTCCCTGCCACCGACCTTGGCCCCGATCTGGTTCCCACACTGCCCGGCCTGGAGGTGCACGATCTCCCTCATGATGGCGGCGGCGCAGAAAACTCCAAAGCACCCTCAGCACCTCACCAGCTTCACTGCGTGCGTCAGGCAACCGCCGCCGCTTATATAGTAACGGTTTGCGCGCGCACCCACGTTCTCTCGGCCCCCGCTGACCGCTGGCAAAAGCTATTGGAGAATCATAATGAGGCTCGGCACAGAGAGAAGCGCGATTGGTTAAGAAACTGTCGGTCAAATGATCACGTTTTCCTCAACCAACACCGCCCCTCCTCCGGATCGTGACGTTAAGTTACTGAGACGTCACAATTTCTCCCCCCCTCTTCAGGACAGCTCCGATTGGTTTAATTGAATGATTGATGTAGAGGCTGATTGGCTGTTTCCCGTAGCAATGAAGTAATCTCACAATGATTGGGTAAACACCCAGTGTCCTAGGAACGGCCGCAGTGAGGTTTGCGTTAGGAGCAAGGCGGCGGCTATGTCCGTATTCTTGAAAGGCTTTAGGCTGCGTCTGCAGCGTAACGGGCGGGACGTGTAGTACGAGCTGCGGCGAAGCGCTACGCTGTGGCCGTAAACGTGTGTGTTGGGGGAAGCTGCCCTTCCGTGTTGCCTGGGACGCGTTTCCTTGGAAAAAGAAAAACAATTTTCAGGCCCGTCCTCTCCGGCATCCGCACACTTGAGATACCTCCTCTGACCTCGTGCAGCCCGCCCTTGATGTCCTGAACCAGTGGGCCAAGGAGCCCTGCAGCCTCCCCACGTAACTCTCGGTCCCCTGCCCCTGCCGACTCGCTCTTCTTTCTGCTCCCCGTGCCGTGCTCCCTGCCCGATCTGCTACGCTGCCCGCCCCTGGCCCATGGCACTTGTCCACCCCGCCCAGGGTCCCCTTCCCAACACCCATCACAAGCACGCATTGGCTACGCGTAGGGGGTGCATATGCACCCCGAGATTGTCGGTGCACCCCTGGAGACTGCCCCCTGCCAACGGTGCTGGTGGTGCCTGCAGGCAGTTGCCGCCAGCTACCCCTCCCCCCAATTGGCAGTGTCTGCAGGCAGTTACCAATTGCCGCTGGCCAACACTGCCAGTGGCATCTGCGGGTGGTCGCCAGCTGCCGGTCAAGGCTCACCGCCTCCCCCTGCCACTGACACTGCTGCAGCTGCCTGCAGGTGACCCCTGCTCACTGCCCCCACATCCCCGCCACCGCCTGCACCCGGTGGTCGCCATGCCCCCTGAGCCTTGGGAGGCATGAGCCCCTTCCCAAACACCATCCACTCCCCTGATGCCGCACCCACTCTCTCAACATCCCCACAGCCCTGGCAGCCAACACCTACTTCATTTCAAGCCACTTCTGCCATGCACCCTTTCTTCCCACTGCCACCAATCTTCCCAGACTGACACCTGGGACATCTTATTTCCCCAAAGCCTGGCACTTGGCACCCAGCCCCACTTCTGCAAGTGCACCCATCCCTGATACCCAACAGCTCCTTCCCAAGCACTCTGCCCTTTCACCCTGCTTCCAAATCCTCCCCTTTCCAGAGACCTGCTGTACTGCAAGTGAGGCTCCCTTCTCAAGCCAACTTGTCCCACTTGACACCCTGCTACCACTCCAGACTAACCCCAGTACCCCAGACCAAGTTCCCTACAAGTCCCTTCATACATTTTCATCATCCAGATACCAATCATCCCCCCATTCTGGTATCAAGGACATCTCTTCCTTCCTCACTGGGCCTTTCTATACATCTTTCCAGAATCAGTTTCAGAAATGCGCAGCAACCCTGGGACGGACTTCCTGAAACACAACCTACCAGGCCCACACTACATTCAGACTTCTATCCTAAACTTCCTCTTTCTTTCCCAAAACTAGCATCTCCTTCCTAACCCTCCTTCACCTTCCAACACTGAGCTGCCATCCACTCCTACACCCAACCCTATGGTCATCCTGATACCCAGATTTACTACCAGCCCCCCAACCACCCCTATATGTATTTCTAAACATAGGACCCCTTTCCAAAGGGATATTCCAACTGCCCCCCACGACCCTAATTCCCTTTCTAATATAAAGGCCTCTTTCTGTCCTCACCTAGCTGTCACTCTCAAACCCACCTACACTCAACCCTCCAACAAACAGGTCCTCCTTCCCTACAGCAAGCAGCTTTCCAAGTTTTCCAGGAGATTATCAAATTTTTGGCCTGTACCCAAAGGTCTATGGCCTACGGCCAGACCGGACTGATTGCACCCGATCCTGTCCGATCTCAGAAGCTAAGCAGTCCCGGGCCCGGCTAGTACCTGGATGGGAGACCGCCAGGGAATCCTGGGTGCCGTAGGCTGCCCGCCCCTTACTCATTTGAGTCCCGTTTCTCTTTTTGGGGTTTTTTGTTGTTCTCCCGCCCTGGCAGGGGGTTGGGCTAGAAGATCTACTAGGTCCCTTCTGACCCTTAATCTATGAATCTATGAATCTAAATTTTGTCCTGAATTTGGTAAGAAGATCCCAAAAAAGGTGACATTTCACAGTGAAAGGAAGTGTCCTGAAGCTTGAATAAGT